GTTCATGAAGTTTGAATTTTTTAAATTTTGTTGAGAACCTCAAGATGGTGACATTAGACATTAAACATTAGACTTTTTCCAAATTATCATTAATATTTATTTTCCTACCTAAAGAAGCCTTGTTCTGCCGGAGAGTTCTTCCTTTTAAAAGGGAGTTTTTCCTTCTCACTGTCACCAAGTGCTTGCTCACAGGGGGCCGTCTGAAGACCGTTGTTGTGATTTAAAGCTACATAAAGAAAATTGAATGGAATACGTTTTCTTATAATATTGAGATGTGCATTTAGGCAATCGTAAAGAACCCTTTCAAAAGTTTCTGGATGTGGATTGAATCCAAAGCGCAGTGGTTCGAGCCTCACTGCAAGAACGTCCCTGACTTGGATAAGTGGAAGAAAATGGATGAATGGACTGAATCCAGAAAGTAATAAAGAATGTCATGAAACAGAAAGGCCACACCGCTTACAAACTCATCTCTTTGGTCTTTTCATGGTAGCTGAGTTTAGAAAAATTGGCGAAATTACCAACAATATGTTCGAAGGCTTGCAGATGAGTATTTTTGTAAATACGCAGGTGTTGCAGAGGTTGCCAGTTCCGATCCCAATAATCTATAAAAAGCATGTCATCTATAGATTTCAGGAGGTTGGGATGCATTTAATCATCTGCCCAGTCCTTGTGTCGCCTCATTTCATGGTTGGTATCGTTTTCAATCACTGATCGTTCGGAGCTGTCATGTGGGATGAGTTTGGTCGTTTCCTCGGCGTTTGATTCGTGTTTCTCTCGCTCAGGTAAACGTAAAGCCCTGAAGCTGAACTTTGCCAATCCTCCCATCAAACCCATGACTAGATTCACACTGAACACGGCCGGGCCGCCCTTCCAGAACCCTCACATGTGAGTGAGCTTTCCCCCAGGCTTGCGTCTGTTAATGTAGTTCATCCAGTTTCTCGTTATTGTGGCCGGCTCTTTCTTTCTTCCCCCTCAGAGAGAGGCTGAGGACACACAGCATCGAGTCCTCGGGAAAATTGAAGATCTCCCCAGAGCAGCACTGGGACTTCACAGCCGAAGATCTCAAAGATCTGGGCGAGATCGGCCGAGGAGCTTACGGCTCCGTCAACAAGATGGTGCACAAGCCGAGTAACCAGATCATGGCGGTCAAGGTGATCATTGGCCTTTCTCTGTCTGAGCTAAAACTGAACACGGGAGCGATGTCTGTGAGTCTGTTTGATACGTATGGAAGCATTTTGTCATTTTCAGAGGATTCGATCAACAGTTGACGAGAGAGAACAGAAGCAGCTGTTGATGGACTTGGACGTGGTTATGAGAAGTAGTGATTGTCCTTACATCGTGCAGTTTTATGGTGCTCTGTTCAGAGAGGTGAAATAAAGTCACTTTGTTACAGAATGAACGATAATGTCTCGCCTCAAAGGAAACAAGTGACTGAATATTCCTTGTTTGTTGTTTTGTTTTTCAGGGGGACTGCTGGATTTGTATGGAACTTATGGCTACCTCGTTAGACAAATTTTACAAGTTTGTATATGGCTCATTAGATGATGTGATTCCAGAAGAAATATTAGGAAAAATAACTTTAGCTGTAAGTTTTTTGGACTTGAGTCTTCCTTATTTTATCCATATAAGAAGCCCGATTATCGTCTTGTTGTCCTAAACTCTGTTTTTGCACGTTACAGACTGTGAAGGCGCTTAACCACTTAAAAGAAAACTTGAAAATTATACACAGAGGTAAGAGGATACCAGACTATCTCCATTGTAATGCATTTGGATCATTGCGTGTCTTTTCACCAGCCGTGTCTCTTAACTCAGACATTAAGCCGTCAAACATCCTCCTGGACAGGAACGGCAACATAAAGCTGTGTGACTTTGGCATCAGCGGTCAGCTGGTGGACTCCATCGCCAAAACCAGAGATGCCGGTTGCAGACCGTACATGGCGGTGAGTAACAGGATGAGGTTACCGAAGTAGAGCTAGCCACAAATCGGCTCGAGTCCATTGAGCTTCATGGAAAATGACAGCTCTGACAAACCAGTAGTTCAGTCACTGTCCACTTTATTTATCACCTGCTTATCCATGCTGTTACTCAGTGAACCAGCCATGATCCAGTAGTGCCATCTACAATACCACAGCTTGAGTTAAACATTAGGAAATGTGTCGTCTAACGTTGGTTATTGTGTATTTCCATCATTCTTATGGAAGGAATTGTGTCTACTTGGAAAGAGCCAATAACATGGATTTCAGTGGTTAATGAAACATTAAAACAACATGTTTATAATCACTAGAAAACTAGAAAAATTCAATAAAACAAAAAAAAAAAAAATTTTGGGGGCAATTTTACCTGAAAATCAGGTCTAAATGAGGTTTGAAATCTTTGTTCCTGCTCATCTTAGAAGAGCTCTAAACAGAAACATGCTAAGATTTCTATTCAAGACTCCTCAAGTCTTCTCCTTGTATAAAGACTCTGGTATCTCTGAAGCTGCTGATCTCTTGAAATTTTCACAGTAAGAGTCTAGTTCAGGGCAGAGGTGGGTTAACCCTTTAAAGCCGGTCGGAGCGGGCACGCTCTGTTTTGCGTAACTATTTTTAAATCCCGGTAGCTCTGCAACCACGTGAGCTAG